GGTGCAGTTGGAAATGGAAATCCAAATAGATAACCCTGATGACAAAAGGGCACAAGGTGACTGAGTTAATCTACTGGACCTATTATTTTGACCATACATGTTGTATATACCCCTTCTGGAGATTTCCTGTTTATTCCTACATGGCTATGATGTGGGACTAACTCCTCTTTTGGCTCAGTCTGTGGATTCAGCTTAAATGTGCAGGCATTGACACATTAGCCTTTCATTCAAATTGGGAAGAAAGAAGACTAGGGTGACAATGCCAGATGTCTAGTAATGGAGCATTGTCACTCGGAGGACAGGAAGTGTTTTACTGCTAGGATCTATAGGTGATAATAAAGGAACAAAAAGTTTAACAAAAGAAAATGAATGTGGCCACCACACCTGAGGATTGGTAAGATGCATAATACAGTATTCAATTTTCAATATTGGGTTTGCAAACTCTTAAAGGGCTGCAAGAACTTCACAAGCACACCCTTTGATTCACTTATACTTAACCTCTTCGCGCCGATGCCTCCCGGCCCTTTAAGGGTTTCAGAAGCCGGGAGGTGGGGTTTTAGGGTCATGTGACACGCCGTCACGGTGGTCACATGATCAGGAAAGGTCCCGATCAAAAGAGGAGATCGGGACCTTTCCGTGAGTACTGGACATGTGCGGCCGGGAGACGACCCAGACGCCAGGAGGCCGCACATTTGCGTTCGTCCAGCGTGAAGAGGTTAAGCTAGCCATAGACAGATTGAAATTCAGCCAGTTCAGCAGGAACTGTCCGAACTTCGGTCCATCTATTGGCAGGCTGGTTGTACTGAAGTCAATCTACCAACTTTCTGTTTTTTATTACTCAATCACTGCCCGAGGCCACCAGCAGTGATCATTGTATTCTGATGGCTGGGAAATCTCTCACTATCAGAATGCAATTGCTCAGTGGGAGGGATTCCCCTATGAACACTGACTGTGTTGATTGGGGAATCAAGCAATTTTCTTTACACAATGTATGACTTGCCTTACATTTGCCGTGTTTTCCTACATTCCATTACTCTGTAGCAGTCATTGCACATACTGTACATAACACTCCCAGGTATGGGAAGGCATTTACCCTACTCCCAGGATGCAGTGGCTGTAGACGTCATCAGCCCCTTGTAAGCTCTGACACCCCCTGACATGGAGCTTACACAGGGTAAGGGCTGTGCAGGAATGGTGCAGTGGGGGAATGTGAGTAAGAAGAGTACACTGAGGGTTAGGATGGCATTTCTCAACCAAGGTGCTGCAGAATCCTGGTCTGCCATCTGAGGTTGTCAGGGATGTTACACTACGTCCAGTATTTTTGCACAGCCTTAAGCATTTCTATGGTGCAGGCAGGCCAGCTGCCAACACCATAGACACGCATGACACTAATCTAAGGTGGGTGGTATTCAGGCAGATTCAGCATTTCGTAGGGTATGGAAGTCCAGCTCTTTTAGACCTGCTCCACCTCTCGTCCACTGCTATGGTGAAGATCAGGAGGTAGAACTTTGATGTGATAAGATGGGGGTTGACTAAGGACTCTAATATGAAAGTGGGAATTGTGATTTGACAGGAGACCCCATTTTAGACTAGGGTGCCTCCAGATTTTGCATATTATCAAAGGATACCAAGACTGAAAAAAGGTTGAGAAAAGCTGTAAGGGGATGGGCATAAAAAGACTTTGCAACTTATCCTCAAATGTATGAGGCAGAGCATCTTTAATATTTGTAGCCATACCTGTCCGCTCTGGCGCATTCTTTTTTGTAAATTCGACCAATGTAATGCAACATTTTAATGCTCTTGTAATATAATCAAGCCTTGGACCCCGCCAAGTCTCCGTGTCTTGATTGCAGATCTGCTTCCATCAGCTTTTGTAGCCCTCACTGCATTTATCTCTACAGCTTGTAAAAAAAGAAAGAAATTCTATTAGCACATAATCTGATCTTCTTTTTTTTCTACTAGCAATCTTCATCTCGAGCGGAGTTCTCTTTTAGGAGAGACAGTTGTTTTCTCTGTGTGTTGACAACAACATCCTGCTTGGCTGATAACATTTCTTCTAGTGAAGGTTCAAATTTCAAACATAGCTTCATTACTGGATGATACAGCCGCATTTAGCTTTGTGAGATTGATGTTGTCATGGCAACTACAAGCTTTATCTAGTGACTACTACGCCAGATCCGAGAAAGAATATCAAACACGTGTAAAGCTATGGATTTATTTTCTGCTGAGAGAGAGCTGCCAATCTATGAAATTAATGAAAGAGAACCTGTCACAAACACAAAGGGTGTATGGACACGAAGAAGCTCACTGATTACATAAAATTGTGGCTAAAGTATTTGTGATTTGCCACAATTGTTATTGTTGTAAACAAGAAAAGCCAATAGACTTAAAGGCTAAGTCTACCTTTAATAGGAAAATAAAATAATGTACAAATAATGTGCATTTATAATTTGTTTGCAATGGAGCCTGCAAAGCATTGTCTGTGGATGGTCAGTGGATGTTGGGCTCAAAGCCAGGCTCTTGCAGATTTTTGCTCTACTTCTATGTCTGTGCTGAGGTGCGGACGTTCAGTTGGAGAGGAAATGTCAATGCACTACATGTGTGTTGATCACTGCATTTATATTCCATTGAGACCTTAAAGTCCATCTACCACGATCACAGACCAGTAGTTCATTCATTCATAGATCCCTATGAATGAATGGCGCAGTTGTGCAAAAAGGGCCCAGCACAGGCACGCCAATTTAAAAAATGACCGCTGATGCAGGGAAGAAAACCCCTGCACAATGTCACAGTATGGCCAGTTTGGAGATGGGGGGTTCCCATTTGCAACATGCAGCATGGTGGCAAAGGTGGAGGTATGATCTTTATTGTATACTTACATTGGTCCATCTTGGCACAGTGAAAGTATACATGATTCATATCGTCCGCTGAGGAAGCTGACAATCACAGTAGTGGTCGGTGCTACTACAGTCATCTTCTGGGCCCCGCCTATATTCTCTACCAGTGGCTTTTCCTCTGCACACTGACTGCTGGGTGTTGCTTACCTGGCACAGACAATGAATACAAGGCATTCTCTGGTGGGACAAGCTGGAAAGGAAGGGTAGTAATGTCACAATCTTCACTCTTTATATCAGGGAAAACTTATTAATTAAAAAAAAAAAATACAAAGGGGTGGGCTTACTAAAGGCAAATAGACTGTGCACTTTGCAAGTGCAGTTGAGCTTCATCTTCCCCACAGCTTAGTAAATGTAGTAAAGTTCTGCTGATTGCCATCATCCAATCATGTGCAAGCAAAAATTCTGTTTTTATTTTTCATGCATCTGATCAGGTATTCTTTACAAAGTGAAGCTTTACTACATTTTCTAAGGTGGGGGGGGGGGGTCTGGGGGAAAAAATGAGTGCAACTGCACTTGCAAAGTGCACATTCTGTGTTCCCCAAGGTGTTCTATGAATGGCAACAGTGAGTGACCCCTGTGGTCACTATGTAGAAGGAAAGCTACTCAGCACAGGTCCCGGAAGATTGCAGTGATCACTGTAGTAGTGGCAGCTACTATAATGATTTTCATCTTCCTCAACCGTCCCTCAGGTATGACATATGCATACTTACACTGTATCAAGCTTCACTAAAGTATATGTAGTACCCCCTAGATAGGTGCTAGGATTAGATAATTAGCATTAGTTTGGATTTTGATAGGAAAATTTAGTTATGGTACTGTAGTCAGTATGGTTGCAATTTGTTGTTAGGTAAAAGAGTAATTGGCACACTGCATCAGTGGTGCCTTGTTCTGCTAGTTAGGTCTGCTCAGTTTGCTCAGCTGCTGCCAGGCTGGTAGTTCCCTCTGCATCTAGAAAACTTGGGAAATTTCTGGATAATAGATGCGGAGCTATGCAGATGGCAGCATGAATTTTGATACAGCCCTGGCCTGTCCCAGAGAGAGAGGATTTGATGGCATGCTGGGTAACTGTATACTTTCAGTGAACACACTGAGCTCTGAGTCTTTGCCTGTATAAGATTGCTCCAGCCTGGAGGGGGCATACGACTCTCCCAGGCTATCCTCCTGCATCTGCTCTCATAGGCCTGAATGATGAGATCCAGCTTCTGCTAAAGCTGACTGAGGGGCTACTTATGATCTGGTCTGGTATCACAGAGGAAGGCATCCAGCTGCTCTTGGGCCTTTTGAGTACAGACACCCCTTAAGGATCTTAGGGACTGTGTGCTGTTTAACCTCCTCTGGTGCTAGGAAGTCAACTGTGGGTCTAGCAAAGGGAACAATAGGCTTTGTCATCTAACCTACTTCTTAAAGGGGCTCTGCAGCTCTAAAGAAGTTACTGCTACTACTACTTCTACTACAACTACTACTACTACTAGGGCCTTAAGCTAAAGTCCACTGTTTGATTCAAGCAAGGACTCCAACACAGCTTATCCTGAAGATTAGATAAAGTCTTCAATGTATATAGTTCCTGTTTTAGGAGTATCCCATTCATCTCCCTCATCCCTATCCAAGCTCTCCAAAAAAAAAAACAACAAATACACCCCTAGACTAGTTATTGGAGAAATGTGTGAATGAGCTTATATGCCTGGCTGTGGGGTGAAAGTACTTGGGGAGGACCTAGACAGTATTTATGCAGTTCCTACAGGAGTAGCGCTACATATGCAAAGATTATACACTATATTGCCAAAAGTATTGGGACGCCTGCTTTTACACACACATGGACTTTAATGGCATCCCAGTCTTAGTCCGTAGGGTTCAATATTGAGTTGGCCCACCCTTTGCAGCTACAAAGCTTCAACTCTTCTGGAAAGGCCGTCCCACAAGGTTTAGGAGTGTGTCTATGGGAATGTTTGACCATTCTTCCACAATGCGCATTTGTGAGGTCAGGCACTGATGTTGGACAAGAAGGTTTGCAATCTCTTAGGCTCCATTCTCCGCTCTAATTCTTCCCAAAGGTGTTCTATCAGGTTGAGGTCAGGACTCTGTGCAGGCCATTCAGTCCTCCACCCCAAAGTTCACTCATCTCCATATTTTTCACCCAAAGACTCGCTGACATCCCTAGTTTTAGAGGACAAGAAAAAAAATATTCTTGAACCAATGGACTGCAGACATAGTGGGTGACCAGACTGCGGACACAGTTGAGATGACCAGAGACTGTGGACACCATATGACCAGAGACTGCAGACATAGTACAGGAAGATGACCAGAGACTGCGGATACAGTACAGGAGATGACCAGAGACTGCGGACACATACAGGAGATGACCAGAGACTGCAAACACAGTACAGGAGATGACGAGAGACTGCGGACACAGTACAGGAGATGACCAGAGACTGCGGACACAGTACAGGAATGACCAGAGACTGGGGGACACAGTACAGGGAATGCCCAAGACTGCGGACAAACAGGAGTTGACCCCGGACACAGTACATAATGGCCAGAGACCGGACACAGTCAGGGATGACCAGAGACTGCCACAGTACAGGGAATGACCAGAGACTGCGGACACAGTACAGGGAATGACCAGAGACTGCGGACACAGTACAGGAGATGACCAGAGACTGCGGACACAGTACCGGAGATGACCAGAGACTGCGGACACAGTACCGGGATGACCAAGACCGGACACAGTACAGGAGATGACCAGAGACTGCGGACACAGTACAGGAGATGACCAGAGACTGCGGACACAGTAAGGAGATGACCATTGACTGCGGACACAGTACAGGAGATGACCAGAGACTGCGGACACAGTACAGGAGATGACCAGAGACTGCGGACACAGTACAGGAGATGACCAGAGACTGCGGATACAGTACAGGTGATGACCAGTTGTGGACACAGTACAGGAGATGACCAGAGACTGTGGACATAGTACAAATGACTGCAGACAGTAAAGGAGATACCAGAGACTTGCGGACCTTTGGGGAGGGAGGGGGAACGGGTACCTGAATTTGACAGGTACCCGCTCTCACTTCCACGGAGTTGTTCTTCCTTCTTCTTCCCGCGGCGTCTTCTGTGACAGCTGGGTGCCCACTGCGCTTTGTGAATGGCCCGCAGCCTTCTGGGACCTGTCATGTGTCCCAGAAGACACTGGACCATTCACAAAGCGCAGCGCTTCCCACGCATGCGCAGTGGGCACCCGGCTGTCACAGAAGCTGCCCCGGGAAGACTGCAGCGCTGGAGCGAGGAACAGGTAAGGTCCTGCAGGAGAGAAGACTTGAGCGGCGCACTGGCCCGATATTCTGACATGGTATGCGGCAGAAATACCGGACCGGACGCTGATTTTTATACACCTGTGACCATGGAGGTGATTGGAACACCTGAATCCAATGATTTGGTGGGGTGTCTCAATACTTTTACAATATAATTTAATTGGAGGACAGTTTTTAAAGGCTAACTCCACCTTTTGCACCAAGTTACATGTGTATCCAAATCTAAACATTTAGACCAAATACGTTGTTGCACATGTTTCTTAAGGCTTGGTTCACACTGCTGTGACCCAAAAGTCGCATATCAAAAAGCTGAAACCTTTTTTGTTGTCCTGCTTTCAGTAAATCACACCAATTGGACTTCAAGCACTCATCACAAAACACAGTGCACTGGCACATTGATGTAGTCACTGTCATGTTCAGCTGCTGCTGGAGCATGCAAACATCCACATGAAGTTTATACAAAGTGTCTACAGGGCATGCCAATGCATAGAAAAAAAAGTAACAGGAGAAGTGTATTTTTTAGTTTTGTATAGAATAGGTCAGGTTTGTCCTGTTCTCTATGTACCCATTCAGGAGATTCACTAATATATCTGTACTGGTGACCATTGTAAAGAATTCTAGGGAGGAATGGAATCCTAAATTTTAGGTCACTACCAGAAGAACAGGTAAGGGGAAATTTTCCTATGGGGACGTCCAGTGCAGGGACAAGCACAAAGGAAGTATGTCAACATGCCTCTGCATCCTCATTCCCAGCTAAGATGGGCAGAGATGCCTCATTAGAACATAGAGTGATGAGGCATGTGCAGGGTACAGAAATTACACTTTTTCCAGTCTGACCAGTGATATTTATAACAACTATAGCTTCAGATATAAATGTGCTAATTTTATTCTGCAAATAGTCAAAGTTATGTATACACTAAAATAATATTTCTAGTACAAAGCATGGCAAAGTTATTTCCAAGAAAATTAAAGACTATTTTTTACATGTTTCCAGGGCTGTGGATAAGGGGGCAGGGCCGCTGAAAGGGGGTACTCCCGGCCCTCCTGTTGGGGGCCTGGCCCCATCAGCTGCAGAGGGGGGCCCGGACATCAGACATGTCCATCTGCAGCTGCTAAATTCCATTGTTGGCCTCCTGTCAATCTATCACACAGAGGCTCAGTGCTCTGAATGCTAGTTGCGCTCCTGCTCTGCTCACAAGTTGGACCCTTTCAAGTTTCCTTGTTTACCTTATTTTCCTTGACCTCCACTGTAATCACTTTGTTCCCTCTGCAAACCTATATATCCTCAGGGGCGGACTGACCATTCGAGCAGTCGGGCACAAACCGAGGGCCCTTTCCTTAGTAGGGGGCCCCATGAAATGCCCCTCCACCTTTTTTATCAGGCTTTGTGGGTGTGCTTTGAGTGTGCTTTGAGTGTGGCAAGGACACAGGGGCCCCAGATCCCCTATTGCCCGGGGGCCCCATGAGTTGTCAGTCTGCCCCTGATATCACTGCTCAACTCTTTATTTAACTATTTATTTACTGATCTCGTTAATGTGTTTCATTTCCTATCACCTACAGCTCAAATCTAGCATTATTATAAGATTCCTGATTGTATCTCACCACTAGTCTGATTGAATTCACAATTCCTGGTCAGTCCCATTCCCTTACCTATAAAAACCTTTAGAGCCAGTTCACACTACATATGCTTCAGTTGCTTTTTTTCTGCATCCAAAATGCACAGAAAGTAGGTTATATGGTTGTCAATGTCATAGTTCACATCAGTGCTTACAGTTCCAGTGTGTTTTGGTTGCAGAAAAAAAATCTATCTGCATTTTTTATGCAGAGAACTGTACTGGAATGTGGTAAAACGCCATCAAAAACACATCGGAACGCACTAAAAATGGACTGGAACGCACATGTCGCTAATCAAATTGATGAAAAAGAGAGGGAAAAAATGAACTGGAATGCGTCAAAAACGCATCAGAAAGCGCTAAAAACACGTCAACAACGTGCATACAAAAACTCATCCGGAACACATCTAGACTGCGTTTCTATAGTGTGAACCGGCCCTTAGGACTTAAATAATAAATATGCAGAAATAAATCTTGCTCTGTGCCAATAATTAAATACCATATAAGGGGATATTCTGTGCTCAAAACTTATTGCTTTAAATACAACACAGTAACGCACACTTCCTCATATTCCTCATAATACCATGCGTTATCTGAATTCTATCCACTGTGCGTTTATCTAATAACAGTGTCCCAATATAAATCTTGGTGAACCATCCCTTTAAGACTCAGTGCTCCAAGTGCTAATGTGCAATTTCTCCTCTGCATATATTCATCCAGTGATATCATGTGACCCCCAGTGTTAGTTCCACCTCCGACACACTTATGCACACTCACCTTGTGGTTTGACCCGAACCGTCAGGTCAAACTGCGCCTTTCCCTTTAACCCATCGGGGACCTATACTGGTGTATCAATCTCCAACTCCTCCTGCACCTCCAAACTCCAAATGCACCACTTGGACATTGACCCGAACTGCCAGGTCAAACCGCGCCTTTCCCCCATTTAACCCGGGCGGGTATACTGGTGTATCAATCTCCAACTCCTCCTGCACCTACAAACTCCAAAATGCACCACTTGGACATTGACCCGAACTGCCAGGTCAAAAGCATGCCTTTTCCTTTTAACCCAGGTGGGTTTGCTGGTATATATATCCAACTCCTCCTGCTCCTTCAAACTCCAAAACACACCATCAGAAAATGGGAAAAAAATGCTCCAGATGGTGAAGTATAAGAGCAATCATTGTAAACTTTGTTAAAACTCTTAAAATCTCCCACTCACATTTTATTTGTGTTCTTCTGGGACACTTCAGGATCAATATCTCTTTGTTTAGTAATTTTGTGAATGAAAATATGCATTGGATCCCCTATCCAAGATGGCGGTACGTACACTTCCGGTTATGGCTTGACGTCATCGCTGTGCCCTTACGCGTTACGTCACGACATGTGACTTCATCAGGTGCAATATGTTTCCCCCCTTCTGCCCTGGCCCCCCATGTGCCCCCACCCCCGCAGTGCTGCCAGCTTCTCTCCTCTCCTTCCTACCTGCAGCTGCCATCACACAATAGGATCCTTCAGGATGGAAAGTGGGGAGGTAGTTCCAATAAATATATCACATTTACCAGCCCCTTCCTTTCCTGAATAAATACAAAGGGGTTGATTACTAAAGGCAAATAGAAAGTGCAGTTTGCAAAGCGCAGTTGCACTCTGCAAGAGTAGTTGCTCCAGAACTTAGTAAATGAGCAGAAGTTCTGCTGACATCCATCATCCAATCAAATGCAAGCAAAAATGCAATTTTTGCTATTTTCCCCTAAACGGTAATCTTTGCAAAGAGAAGCCCTGTTGCAGCATTTACGAAGCTCTAGAGCAACTGCACTGCAGAGGTTTGTTTGCCATTAGTAAATCAATAGTGATCGGTACCAATCAATAACTGGGTTCATTCATAACTGAAGCATAGTAAGTCTGCCCCTGGTCTTTAATAAAAAAAATGTGCTTTTGTTTGGGAAGGGGGGGCCTGTCATGTTGGAAGTATGGGGCCCCTGGTTTTTAACAACAGCCCTGCATATTTCTGTATAGATTTTTGCCAACACAAAAAAACTGACAAATAAAAGTGTAAATGTAAAAAAGTAGTAAAAGTAAAAGTTTAAGCAAAAAGCTAAAAAAAAAACTAAGGAGAGCAGGAAGAAGAAATATTTAAAGTGGGAGGTAGGTCAAAACCTAACAAAGCTTAAATCTACTTCCACCCCTATTCTAAGCTGTTGGATCTGCCCTGTAAAAGGAAATTTGTCTATATTTACCTATTCTGAATTCACTCCAGTCCGGTCAAATGATCAGGTTCCAGCATTGGTTTCAGTGTACAGGGGGGGACAGCCAACAAAGGATGCCCCTTAGTAAGTCTATGGGTGATGTCATCGCTCAGGCTCTGCAGCCGTTGTTGGCAATCTCTCCTCTACTCTGAAGAAAACACTTGAAGCCGGTCATGTGACCAGTCAGAGCGACTTTAAAATAGGAAAGTACAGATATCTTTACTTTTACAGGGTAGTTAGCATAGGACTTAGAATGGGTTCATTGTAGATTTCAAGCTTAGTTATTTTTACCGTCCACTTTAATTAGGGCCAATAATGTGTAACAAGTGGTTAATGAAGGGCTAAATAGCAAAGACTTATTGAAAGGCAAAACTAAAGGAGCAATTGGAAACAGAAGTATCATTGTTTGTTTACTACCACTTTAAGTAATCCAGGAAAAGTGTATTGCAAAGTCCTGAACAGGGGACGGAACTGACAATCATGGGGCCCCCGGGTAATAAGGGATCACAGGGTCCCTGTGTCCTTGCCCAAACTCAAAAAAGCCTATGAAAAAGGTACCAGGGGCATCTCATGGGGCCCCTTACTGACCCCAGGCCCTCGGGCAGTGCCCGACCAAATGATCAGCCAACCTTCACCCCCTGCTTGGGATAATTTTGTGCTAATGTGCCAGTGCTGGGATCAGTATTGGAAGTGGTTTACCAGTGTGTTGAAAGGTAATTTCCCCTGGAAACACAGTCTAAAGTTAGTGCTAAGAAGACAGGGGTTTATTTACTAAAGCTGGAGAGTGCTTCCAATCAACTTCCAGGTCTTATTGCCAAAGCTTAATTGAACAAGCTGAAGTTAGAAGCTGATTGGCTACCATGCACAGCTGCATCAGATTCTGAGTGAACCAGCTTTAGTAAATCTCCCCCACAGAGTAGCCACAGTGGTCCTCAAAATGTTCTACAAAATTACCCCCCAAAGCTTACAGGGGGGTTTGCAGCCAAGTGCAATATTCAGTTAGCTTTCAGAGGGACAGCATACTGTTATCCTTCACTCTTGTTTCTCAGTTAAAGCCAGGTGCCCTGGCATTTTCTACTAAGGGGACATAGAGCTCCTGTATACAGCTGGCACTTTGCTATTTTCTACTAAGGGGCATAGAGCTCCTAAAAGCAGAAAGGACATTTGCTACTGATCCATTAAGAACTGACAATATTACGGTGGGAGTAGTCTAGGATCTATATTTGCTGCATGTTGCACATGGAGAAGTTCGTCCTCAATATTATTGTTGAACTCAATTTGGGCATCCCATAACCCCTTATCCCTTTATCCAAGTTATATTCCCCCAATAAAACATAAAAACAAGCCCAGGGACTGGTTTTCTGACTACATGTGCCTGGTGAAAATGCATGTTGCCTGGCTGTGGGCTAAAAGATCTCCCTGTCTTCATTGATATTTATTCATGGATATGCAGAGCTGCACACACCATGCATTTTTGAGCTGGGGGGGAGATCCACTCTAAAACAATTTGTCTGAAATCTCTCGTAAATGATGGATGGTAGTATTTCTGTACAGATATCAGCATAAGTTTCAAGGGATATCTCAAGGAAGACATGGTAGATTTTGCTAAGTTGCTTATAAATGCTACTGTGAACAAGGGGCATATGAAATGGCCAGTGGCTTAGCAGATGCACACTAATTATTACCTTTAGACCTGTTATCAGCAAGGTGCCTGCAAAAGAGAGTTAGAATAATAGTTTGAGGAAGGTTAAGAGACATTTATTGAGAATAGTGACAAGCAGGGGCGGACTGACAACTACCCCCGATCAAGTCATCATGTTGTCGGCAAAAAAGATGTACTTGTACTGCTCATTTGCTTTCCAATAAATCCGCCCCTGGTCTTAAAGTTTCGGCTTGATGTACCATCAATAAATGCATCTTAATCTTGGATCAAACTCAGGCGCTCCCTCTTTCCTATTATTTTAAGTCTACATGTGGAAACGACCTTAAGGCCGCACCAGAAAGGCAGCAGCCCAAACCCTAAGAGGGTTTACTGACAGTATCCACCATACTGGGTGCAACCGACTGGAGGGACATCTCCCTACCCACCCATGCAACCACCCACCTATGACCAGTGACTGATCTAGTCAGTCCAGCATGGTCTTCAGCACAAACAAGATGCAAAAGAGAGTCAGGAAATCTTTCTCCGTTACCTGTTCTGGTGTATCTTAATGCAGACTTTTAAGCTCACACATAGAGCGCTAACTCTTTATATATTTTGTATATACTGTATGTGTGTGGTGACACATGTCTAAATCTACCCTAAAGGAAAAACTTTGTTGCTGTCTCTGCCCCCGTTAGGGAGAGTCACTCTCTAGTTGTCATGTTTACCAATATCACAAAAAGTGAAAGTAAATCCTACATTTTTGGTTGTCCCCAGAACAGTAATATAAGGGAAATCTTCCAAAGGGGACACTAGTTCTGGTGACCCTGGTGAAAACCAGAGATTCCATTTGTTTTTTCCTTTCACTTCCTGTTATGTCAATAGGACAGAAAGTGAAGGAAAGTCTACCCAATGGGATACAGATGGCACTAAAATCCTGACAGGGCTTTTGCATATGTCATCCCTGAGGGACCGTTGGGGAAGATGATAATCACTACAGTAGTTGCTGCTACTACAG